GGTGTGGTCAGGCATGTTGTGTGTCTCTGTGGTGTGGTCAGGCGTGTTGTGTGTCTCTGTGGTGTGGTCGGCATGTGTTTGGAGGGACAGTCTGTGCCTGACTGCCGACGGGGCTCTGTGAGACGTGTGATCCACTCTGGAGTGTGTCTGTGCTGGGTGGCAGTGTCATGGATGCACACCCAGCCATCCACGGGGAGCCCAGGCGTCCGGGGTCCAAGACTCTGGCCCGGGCCTGGGTCGGCAGGTGGGGGGTGGCCGTGTGGAGGGCAGCCCTGGCTGCGCACTGCAGGTGGGCGAGGAGGGGCCCTGGGCCATCCTGCCCCAGATGTCCGCCCGCTGACTCTGCCCCTCCTGCAGGTGGCCCAGCATGCCCACATAGCCAGGGTGGTGGGTGCAGGTGAACAGAGCCCAGAGCGAGAGGGATGGCAGAGGGTCACAAGGCACCGCGTGGGCACCTCAAAGGGTGGCTGGGGGGCGTGACCCCCTCCCTACAGGCAGGGCAGCAAGAACATGGGCTGCAGGGACCCACCCGTGGTTCACTGGGCATGAGGCAGGAGGGCAAGGGGTGGGCTTCATGTGTGAGGGCTCAGGGAGAGTTTCATGGGGAGCAGCCTCTTTGGGGACAAGGCTGCCTGGAGCCCCTTCCTCAAAGCCCTGGGTACCCTGATGTGGCCAGCCCTGGATCTCCCTCTGAGCCGGGCCACACTCCTGTTCCCATCACCCTCTGGTCATAGTCGGCTCTGTCAGCGTTTGTTGAGTGACTGAGCGACTTGTTCACAGTGCCGAACTGGCTGAGGAGCCTCAAGCACGAAGTGCTGCTGCCCCCTGGTGGCTGTGGCCAGGAGGGCCATCCTGTAAGGCCTCCCAGACCCTGGTTCAGAGGCCCTCAGCCTTCCGTGCTCCCAGCCCTCACCCACCAAGACCACAGCCTGGGAAGGTCTCCCCGACTAGGGCTCCCCCTCAGTCACCACTTTGTCCAGAGGCAGAGCAGGTCCTGTCACGAGGCTTCTCGTTCTGGAGCCAGCAGTCAGGATGGAAAAGGCCCTCCTTCTCCCCAGAACAGCAGCAAGGATTTCCTGCTGTTGCACTCAGCACACCAAGTTCTGGGCTTTCTCATTCTCCGTCCTAAGACCCTGCCAGGCAGGCATGAGCCTCCTTCAGGGAGGAGCAGGCCGCGGGGCCCGGTCGCCGGTAGGGCCGGGTCCGCCAGATCAGTGCAGCTCCAGGCTCGTGCATGGCCGCGGCTCGAGGTGCCACCTCTGCAGGGCTCTGGGGCCAACCCTGCTGCTGCCGCCCTGGGCAGGAAATGCATGAGGCTGGGGGAGAGCAACGACCAGGAAGCGTGGCCCGGCCCCCCGGGTGCGACAGAGGGAGGCTCATTCCAGTCCTGGTCCTTTTTCCCCAGGAAGCGGCCAGGAGCAGAGGCTGGCCAGGGAAGGGAGGCCTGTTTACTCTCCGCTCCTCCTCTTGCTGGCTGGCTTACCCTGCATGAGTCCCTTGGCCTCTCTGGGCTTCAATCCATCTGTGACAAAGGAGTCTGGGAGATGCAGCAAAGCCCTTCTTCAAGTGATATCCTGCCTTGAAACCCGACACATTAAACTGGGTGAAGCAGCGAGGACAGAGCCCCCACCCGCCCTCCGCCCAACACCCCAGGTGCCGAGGCTCCTCGGGACCCTCGGTTTGGAAAAGGTTGATCTCACATCCAGGGAGCAGTCCCTCCGGTGGGTCCAGAGACGGCTCGAAGCCAGCCCCCAGACCCAGCAAGGGGGAGGGCCCACACTGAAGAAGGTACGGAGCTATGGCCAGAAAAGCCCCCAACAGAGGACGAGACCAGCCAGGAGGTGGAATAACCTAAGAAAAACTGAAAAGTAAGGATGGAAGCTGCATAGAGATGCAGGGTCACCATCCTAGAGGGCCCTGTCGTGTGTGGGAAGCGCAAGACTACAGAAGACGAGCCAAGTGAGACCCGGGTAGGCCGGGGGTCCCACCCGTGAGGTGGTACAAAGGATGGTCAGCCAGGAGGCTGGAGAGGCAGCTGCCGAAGCTGTGGACAGTGTCTGTCCGTAGGCTGCTGGCCTGCCCCTTGGTGCCGACTGGTCCGTGAGGCACAGTGCCACAGCCAGGAGCTCCGGCACTCAGGGCTGACCCCCAGCCCAGGTGACCCTGACAGGGCAGACAGCCCCACCTCTGGAGGAGGGAGGGGTTGCGCTGATGACATCCCGGAGTGCGTGAACATTCTCATCCAGCGTTCTCGTCTCGGGCTCCGAGACCAGTGGGTCTGCTGCCTCCATCAGCCTCCCGAGCAGCCCTGAGGTCCCTGTGGAGTGGAGGAGCAGGCCGCAGCCCGGCCGCCCGGGCCCCCTGACCCAGCCTCCCAGCCTGTGTCCAGCAGCACGCTTGTGGGCTGGGCAAACACTCGGGCGTCTCGTCACGTGATGACTTTCTGAGCCTCTCTTTCCTCCCCTGGGAGCTTATTTTATGATTCCTTTAAAATCAGTAATACAGACACATGTTAAAGTGCATGTGAGGTCAGTCTCCACTCCTCTCCTTGGGCCTCGATTCTCCTGCTACCGGTTTGTCAGTCTTTCCAGAAATGTTCTGTGCGTGTGCAAATATATGTGTATACCCCCACAAAGTTTGGTTTGCTTTTTACACAGATAGCGGGTCACTTCTCACAGCACACCTACCCTGCTCTCTCTCACCGTGGCTTGGACAGGCGCCTGCCCCAGTTCCTACAGGTGCGTCCGTTCTGATGATCAGCGCCTTCTTCACTGAATACAGACAGATTCTAACACGTGCCGTTATGAACAACACAATGAAAAGCCTTGTGAGCGGGTTTCGGTCAGATAATTCTTACAAGTAGAGTTGCTGGGTCAAGGATAATGTGGATTATTTTTGCTATTGGTGAATTCCCTCCAGAAGAGATGATTCTGACAACTAGCCTTCACCCTGCCGTGTGTGAGCAGGGCTGCTTGTCCAGCAAGCTGGGACCCTTTTCCCCTTCTTCCTGTCTGACAGGCGATAGACAGATTCTCATAGTTTTAACATGCGTTTCTGTGGAGTTTGGAAATCTCATCATAGTTTCCTTTTCTGTGAACCCGTGTTCCTTTTTTTTTTTTTTTTGAGGAAGATTATCCCTGAGCTAACATCTGTTGCCAATCCTCCTCTTTTTGCTGAGGAAGGCTGGCCCTGAGCTAATATCCATGCCCATCTTCCTCTACTTTATATGTGGGATGCCTACCACAGCATGGCTTGCCAAGCAGTGCCATGTCTGCATCTGGGATCTGAACCAGTGAACCCTGGGCCACCAAAGCAGAATGTGTGAACTTAACCACTGCACCACCGGGCCAGCCTGGTATTGTGCTTTTTATTGATTTGTTGGAGCTCTTTTCATATGAAGGACACTAACCCCTTTCACATGTATTAGTTCCTCGATTTGTCTCTAGCTTTTTAGACTTACAGTTCCTTCTAAATTTTGTGGTCTAATCTGTTACATTGAAAACTCTCACCCAGTTGATTGTGCTGTAAGGAGGGAATTGGGGTACTTTTACTTTTTCCAGGTGGTCTCCCAGTCACCCTGCAGTCCCCATCCCGAGTTGGGTGGGCCGAGCAATCTGTACTTTAAGCTGCTCCCCAAGTGATTTGAATGTAGAGCCTGTCATGTTTGGAGACCACTGCCTTTTACCTTGGACCAACAGCTTGAGTCCCCTGGGTCCCCTCCCATGGGGGCGTGTGTGGAAAGTCCAGCACCCTCAGGAAGAAAAGTTCACCCACCACCTTGGTGGAGCTCCAGAGCTATGTTCTCATCAAATCACAGGTCTAGAAACGTCCAATTTCTGCAAATGAGCAGATAGTATCATCTTCAAATGACATGGAAATATGTAACCACACACTGCAAACCGGGCATGCACTGACACACAGCCAGCTGTCCAAGTCACCATCGTCTCCAGCCAAACCCACTCACCCACTCCCAGGAGTAATGGCCCAGCCTTGGCAGAGCCCAGAAACTCAGAGGTTCACAAGCGGCTTCACCAGGCTGTCAGGAGCCAGGCCCAGAGGCTGTTGTGTGGGTGGCATGAGACTACCAAGGGCTCTGTCCCCACTGGGACTAGCCAGTTGGCTGGACTGCACTTTAACTGCCCGAGAGCAGATTCCAAGCCCTCCGGACCTGTCAGATTTTAATACCTCTGCTCCCCCGCCTTCCAATCTGAGGCTCAGTGCTGCCTCTAGGAGACCTTGTTCATTCCTTCCCTCTTTAAGTGGAAGGCCTAATTTATCAAGACTTTAGGCTCAGCATCTAGTCCACACCTCTCAGTACATACTCAACACCAACTCCTTTATTTTGAACATCAGCAGTGGCATCAGACCTGAGGAACCAGAAAAGGGTGTGCTCACAGGAAGCACATCAGACTGTGATGGAAGTGTTCTTTCCTCCCGTCTGCCCTGACTAGTCAGACCTTACTTTGTGATTCTTGACAAGTCTTATTCATATTCTGGCATCTGAAGCCACCTGCTCGGGTCCAGGAAGGGCGACCACAGCTGGTGACAAGCCAAATTCTAGTCTGGTTGAGCAGCCAAAGAAGGTTAACTGTAGCAATCACACAAATGTGGGAAGGCAGCTCTTGCTAGGAAAATCACCCCCCTTGGTAAATGTACCAAGAGCATCAGTGGACCAGTTGAATTTACTCCCCTGAGATGAAAGGAGCCGCAGCATTCCCATCTGCACCATTGTTCCCAGCTCCCTCTAAGCCCGCCAGTAAGATACTCAATGCTGCTCCCAGTGACCGGTGGCGACCAGCAGCTTCCTAGGGCGACATCTGGCAGCTGCACGGCCTGCCTTCCTCTGCACTGTGCAGCTACAGCAGGGATTCAAAATTCCCATTTTGGGGTTTAGTATGAAAACCTGCCATCCTTTTTTAGGGAGTGGGGGTACAAGCTGATTAAGGAACGTAAAAGGCCAGTGCTGAAGGTCAGAGAGGAAGGTAGAGATCCACAACACATACAATCATCATCGAGATTTATTACAATCAGGTGGCTGCCAAATGTGCACCTTTCCTGACTTGTTCGGAACCACGCGACTCATCCTGGCAGCGAAGGCAAGCTGCAGAGGCAATGGCTCTGGCCTCTGTGGGCAAGAATCAGAGGGCCTCGTGTGCCTTCTTCCCTGGGCACTGGCCGTTGACAGGAACAGCTCAGTGAACAAGGGGCTCTCTGTGGGCATTCCAAGTTCACAGCCACCTCTGCAGACATTCGGGTGGGCTGAGCTGGCAGCAGAGGGTCTGGACGCTGTCTCATCCATCCTTCTCCTCCTACCTGCATGTGGGCTACATCTACTATTGGTAAGAATCCACAGCAAACTTTATACAGGACTCATGCATTTGAATTAAAAATGCCAAACAGGAAGAAGGCATTTCCATGGATTTTCAAAATTTTGAAAATATTTTGAAGCCCTTTGGGACAATTTCCTCAGCCTGTAGGAAAAAAGATCAAGTCCTATTTGTAAAACACATTCAAGGTAAGCTGTCTGGAATGGACACACTAAAAATTTCCCAATGCCCAATTATTTCAAGATACTTTATTTTTAAAACAGGTCACCACACTAAGCTTTTGGCTCCTTCTGCCAATGTACAAGCTACAAACGCTTGCTTGGCAGCTGAGGGGCACTCTTTAGTAGCGTGTTTGAAAAGTGAATAAAAATCCATATAAAACAAATATTCAAATAGTTTCCATAGGAACACAGATAAGTGTGACCCCATTTCCTAGTCTTCCATATTGTTGCATCTGTGCCAACCCTACTTACAAAGACATTTCAAAACTACTGGGAATTAAGTTCAATGGTCCCCCCAAACCCCTACTTCAAGCTAAACTCGCAGTTAACAGCTCCAAGAATGGTATCTACACGTTAATGCTGGCCGAAGCACAGGCTGCTGGGTGCCGCTTCATCCCACTCTCCCAAGCACAGGACACAGGCAGAGTGCTGACGTCCTGCTCCTCCACTTCAGGCGGGAAGTCGTGGTTCTGGATTTGCTGCATCAGTTGCCTGAGACAGAAGCGGCATAATCAGAAACCCTGAGTCACCCATGGGGAGAACTTCCGAAGCCTATCTACTTCCTGGTTATTATGTCATCAGGAAGTAAATTCAATGCATTTCTAAAGCAAGCACTTCTTCAGAACCATCTTTTTGGTAGTAAGGAAACCACAAATCACATGCATTAATAAAACATTCTAGGCACACAGAAATATCTTAATTGGTCTTTTCTAAAATGGTTAAACTTTAGAAAAAATCTGAAGAGAAATACAGATCAGTATTATTTGAGGGATTTTACTTCCATTTGCCTGTATTTTCCAAATTTTCTAGAGCATATATTCTTAATATGGGAAAGAAAATAAACTACTTTAAAAAACACTGGTAGTATCTAACCCTAAGCAAAATAATTTATTATCCAACTAGATAAGAGAAGCATAAATCCAAGAAGGTATGTATTCTTATCAGAACCATGAACATGCACTGCCGTCACTAACCATGTTGGCCCTGACATGACATAGTAGATAGTTGGCCTCTGGAATCCATTGAAAGTCGAAGCAGCAGCAACAGTATAAGCGCCCATGTTTTCAAAGAGCATCCAATCGCCCACCTGCATTTCGGGCAAGTTACAGCGCTCAACAATGCGATCGAGGCCGTCACACGTCGGTCCCCATATGCTGGATGAATAATACTTCTCATCTGGTTTGGGTCTCTACATTTGAGAGAGAGAAACACCCACAGTTGTTATGACCTTGTTACGACCCATCATCTTAACCATTCCGTACAGCATGTTCAGAAGATACCTTTTGCAGAAGAGGCTTCACGTGTGCATGATCATAAAGGATGCAATTAAATGATCCATATACTCCATCGTTCACGTAATACATAAAGGTCTGTTCACTCGACTCATCTTCATCTAGAAAGGCACATTAGTCTCAATTACCACTTTGTCTACCAACTTTCAGTTACACATGCAATGACTCGTTCTTTATACATACCATCAGATCCTGTTTGTTCCTTTAATACGAGTTTTTTCGCAATGATATTAACTGCGAGCGTGAAAGCTGATGCAACGTAGTATCTGCCTGGCTCAGCTATGACTCTCACTCCCGAGTCTGACGGAAAATATTTATCCAGCGCTGGGTTGATCACACTGGTGACCTATGAGAGTGAGACAGACAAGCAGAGTTAGTCATCAGGGATCACACGCAGGAGAGCACAAAGTCCTCTGACAGGACCCAATGAAAGCGTGTGAGCGCAGCCATAAGCGGGAGGATTATCATTAAGCAACAGCAGCAACAAAATAAACCTCTCACCAAACATTAGACCGCATATCCCTCTGGTTTCATTTTGATTCCCCTCTGGACACCCCTTCTATCCTTTAAAGATGTTATGGGTATGATTTTTATCAAACCATAGTACAAAATAAATTCATTACCACTGACTGAGGCATCAGGGAGCCTACATATTACCTGGCAAATACACGCCAACAGGACAGAACTCTTTCCACTCTGCCTAGATTTTAACACGTAATGCTAACAAATAAGAATGTCCATCTGTTTTATAAAGTCGAGCACCACAGAATGGCTCATTAAGCACTGGGCATGTTTTATGAGGAAGGACAAACCCTAGCACGGCTCATTCAGGCAACGATACACTCCAGTCAGTGTGCTCTCTAGTCCCACAGTTCTTAATGTAATCAACTGTTTCCCAAAACTTTTGGGAAAACTGACTCATATTTTAGTTTAGAAAACCAAAGGATAGTAAATGCAATTTTAAATTGCACAGAAGTCAAAATATCACACCAAGATGTTTATTTTCATGTTCCTACACTCCCTTTTAAATTTTTCCTTTTTCTCCCCTAAGTCCCCCAAGTACATAGCTGTATATTTTTAGTTGTGGCACGTGGGACACCGCCTCAGCATGGCTTGATGAACAGTGCCATGTCCACACTCAGGATCCAAACAGAAGAAACCCTGGGCCGCTGAAGAGGAGTACGCAAACTTAACCACTTGGCCACGGGGCTGGCCCCATATACACTCCCTTTAGTATTAGCTAAAACATTTAAGTTTTGAAATATTCCAAAAAGGAACTTGCTAAAATAGCTCTAGGATAGTAGAGTTGTTATAAATTACCTCTTCAAATTTAAGCTTTACATCCTCAGATCCAGGAAAGCCACCACCAATATCAAGCAGATACATGTTGAAACCAATCTCAGCCTGGAATCAAGAAAATTAACAGAACAGTCAGATTCATAACAAATCAGGACAAATGTACGCAGCAGATGGGTCCACGCCTCTGTAATACAGGATGCTTCTAAAAAGGTTAATTCTAGAACTCAGAATAGCTGCTGTCAGCCCCACCCCCACCTTGCACTTGGGGTTTCCATGAACTCACCCCCATGTCAAAGACACAGCGGGCATCAGAGATGGCCTGCACGAAGGTCTCCGGGTCAGTGCAGCCACTTCCCACATGGAAGCTGGGGCAATAAGAAATGAGAATGTTCTATTTCTTTTTATTTCATTATTTATTAATCAATTATTGAGGTAACGCTGTTTACATTATACAAATTTAAGGTGTACATCCTCCTCCGATTTGTGCAGACTACATTGTGTTCACCATCTAAAGTCTAACTGCCATCTATCACCATACACATGCGTCCTCTTACCCTACCCCCACCTCCCCGTTTCTTACTATTTCTGAAAAGATCTACAGTGGGAGAAAATCTGTAAAACTTGCATTACCTAATATTAATATCTTAGCCTCTAACTATGCCACCACTGAGCTCTCACCTGACACCAATGACGTCAATATTTAGCTCTTTCGCCCGTTCCAAAAGAAGCCTGCTGGTTTTGAGTGTGGCACCAAATTTAACACTGAGGCGACAGACTGCTTTGGAATCATCGGTAGCAATCCGCAAAACCAACCTGGAAGCGAGAAAAAGTGCACCGCATTTCCCACAACAGAAAATCGCTTACAGACGATTAAAACAAACAGAAAATCTTCGGGTGACAGTCTGATTTGAGTCTCATACGGTTTTATTAATCAAGAGAGTGTATGCTATTTTCTACTTTGTGTGATGCAGCAGAGATAATTATGAGGACAGAACTCTCTCAAACTGCACATCTGAGTCCGAGCGACAGCGCACACTCACAGCCGACCCGCCCCCAGACACGCAGCCACTCACTTTGCCTTTGGATGTGCCCGGGCAACTTTCATCAACTCGACCTCACTATCAAAAGTCATCATCTGGACTCCGTTATTGGCAGCATACTTAATCTGGGACACTTGTTTACAAGGATTTGCGTAGATAATCCTCTCCGGAGGCACCCCGAGACTCTGCACCAGTTGTATTTCAGTCTGGAAAAGAGGAGGTGTCACACTATACACATGTAGCTGATAGAAGAAAACAGAAAAACATGGGAAGTCGTCATGGTCCCCCAATTCTTTCACTAGCATCTATTGCCCAAGAAACACGACTTTGGGGGCCGGCTCCATGGCCAAGTGGTTAAGTTTGCGCACTCCACTGTGGCGGCCCAGGGTTCAGATCCTGGGCGCGGACATGGCACCGCTCATCAGGCTACGTTGAAGCAGCGTCCCACATCCCACAACTAGAAGGACCTGCAACTAGGATATACAACTGTGTACGGGGGGTGGGGGGGAGGGTGGGGGTGGGGTTAGGGAGATAAAGCAGAAAGAAAAAAAAACCAGGAAGATTGGCAACAGTTGTTAGCCCAGGTGCCAATCTTTAACAAGAAAAGAAAAGAAAAAAAAAAGAAACACAACTTTGATGTGCCCGCCATTTTATATCATCTTCAAGTCCTGCTACTTCGCTTACCTTGCTGGCACAGTCAAACCCGGTCCCGATGGCAGCCAGCGTCTTCACGATGGTTCTGCTGTCATTGCACTTGACTGCATAGAAGGGGGTGACCCGAGGAAGAGCTTTTAACCACCTCAGGTGCTTCTTTAGAATGTCTCCCAGGTCCGCAACATAGAAGGCATCCTTATCATCCTACAGCGAGAGCGGTTACAGGGGGCTCGTGAGCAGTAAGTCCAACAGGAAGCTTTCCTTTTCTTCCCCATCATTCTCAGGAATCCTAGGCTTTTTCGTCCAGTCACTGATATGAATACCACTACTCTCACTGGACAATTCACAGCCAATTAAATTCTCAATTCCCTAGCAAGACATGCAAGTTCCATCAGATTTCCTTAAGACCCCACTGAAGTTCCCAGTTATCTGCCCAGCAATCTCAACGCTGGACTGACAGCACGGACTTAACATACTTACAGAAGAAGAAACTTCATTAATTTTTTGGTCCAGAATGTCCTTGGCAGTAAAGCCTTCATCGAGAAAATGGCAGTCAAACTCTCCATTACTAAAGTTGTTCATGGTTCCTTGATGCTCCTCTGAAACGCAACTGCAAACAGGGTGGAGAAATTAACTCAGAAGCCATAACACTACTTAGTAAATCTTAACAAGATTAACCTGCAGCAAGGATGAATACTTACGTGGAAAACTAAGAGATGGAATTCAAAGGAAGTATTGCCAGCTTTTCACAAAGGCAATTCTCCAGAAATTCCAAGTCCTGCTGAAGATACGTTGCCCTCGGAGCAGCAGTGGAAATGTTCTGATCAACAAACACAGAATTTGCTGTTCACCCTCAGGAACACATCAAATTGAAAGGTCAGGCACTGACCTCCTCAGGACACACAGGAAAGAGAGCTCCTGGAGCACCCCCACAGACAGCTCACTTGCTGGGAGTGGGAATCCCACTATTCCGAGGTCTAAGTCACATGACTCCCTAAACCTCGACAGAATCCGAGGACATCACAGATTCAACACTTAAGATCTTTTCAAAGCAGCATACTAAAATTCCATATACGGTACTGTACATCTCAACATACGCATTTCAAACATTCATGCTCAAAAACGAAAATGCAGGTTTCAGAAGCTTTTCTGCAGTAGGTTCACTGACAGGAAAAAAGTTTTATAACGGTCAGCTTACTTTCTTTCAGAACTGTTTCAGCTCTTTAGAAGCCTAAAATAGCATTACAGGAATTACTGAGAATTGCCATATAAACATCCAGCTACTTCCTACTTTCAGTAAGTCTTATACAAACTAATTTTTAGTGTCTAATAAGCATCATGGAAATGCCTAGTCCTCTCAACTCAGTGATTGCCCTTAAGTTTTCCTAAATTTTATGAGCTAATTTTATGAGTTAATTTTCATACTAAGCATGTATTTTTAAAAACTCCAATATTCAGATCAACATAAAGTATGACAGTTGCTGAATCTGATGAGGAATCGGCATTCCTGAACCAGTGCTACCTACTAAATTAGCAGTTCTGGGAACCCCAACTGTCCTTACAGGCACTAACATTTGCTTAGGTATGAATGATAATCATATGGAAATAATTTTCGGCTAAGTCTATGAATAATAAAAACAAGCACAATTATGAATAAGCAAAAATAAAGCTTGAAGCCATCAGAGCCTCTGTCCTTAGCCTTCGTGAAATGTAACACTGGTGACTATCTTCAAATTATTGATTTTAACCCATCTAATTGAGCCAGATAGGGCTTTCGTCTTTCTCACTGTGCAACCCGCTTCAGTGCCTGCAGCCTACAGGCAAAGGCCAGGCAATGGTTCAGGGCCACAGTTTGCTCTGGCATGGGGCACTATGAGAGGCCCAGGGGGACGAGCCTGCCATAAATCCAAACCCATGCACGTTGGAACCTGATCTAAGGTGACTTTTTGGCATTGTCAACCTCCTACATTGCCTTACTCACCCTTAAGGAAAGGCAAGAGACCAATACCAGGAAACCCATTTTGTCTATTTAAATAACATTTAAATAGGCTCAACGGTGAGACTGGGTTGTTTAGGGTTTGATAAGTATCTTTAAGGCAACGTACAGGCTTAAACTCGGGAAGTTTTTATTTCTTTGAAATATACCCTTATCAAACATTTCATTTTCTTATATCTTTTAAAAGCTTTATTCTAATAACTTGTGACATAGAGAAATTTCACCCAAGAACACCTTCTGGTGTTCTATATAGCTAAGCTACTTAAAATGATGGTTCGGATGAATCTATCAGTACAAAACAGCACTTTTCTGCTAGGAAATTCTTCACTGCCAACTGGGTAATGTTAAGAGAGATCAGGATTAAACAGAAACCGAAAAACTTTCCTAACTAAGTTATGCCCAATTTTAGGTTTGAATAAAATCAACACAATCTTTGTCCTCCTTAGACACGTCTAAGTGGTTCTGCTCCCCACACTTTAGCAATCTTTTAGGATTCTCAAACGACACAATTCATCCTTTTTTGAAAACCCTGGGGCTGGCTCCTACATGTTGATCTGTTAGCCTTAACTGGGATCTTAATATACCAGGCTTTTCTAAAATCACTAAGTCATTCAAAGATTCCTTAAATAGACAACTTCGAGCCACGGCTGGCCGAGCGTTTATCATCCTAGCTTCTACAAGGCTATCTTAGCTCTAACAACGCCGGCGGGTTTCTATATCGGGTCATTTGCTCTGTACACACAGCGAAAATAAAAACTAAAAAAAAGAAACAAGAAAGAAAATTGTAGGGCAACGGGGCAGAATGATATGTCTCATCCTTATAAAACTGAGATGAGCGATGGGAACCCCGGGACCTGCAGTGGCTTGCTTCATTCCTCTCCTGCACCTGCTACCAGGCTTGCCACATGGCTAAAAAAAAAAATAGCGGTTGCAGGAACGACCGGGCCTTCCCAGCGGCTTCCGGCTCCGAAGCCTTCACGGCGCGGTTCGGAGGAGGCGCAACGCGGCCCCTCTGGCCGGGCAGCCCAGAGCCGGGGCAAGCAGGCCGGGAGGGCGGCCGCCGGGAGCGCACCGGGCCGGTGTCGGGCCCCGCTTGTCGGGGGAAACCGGGGCTGGAGGGCAGCGCCTCTCCAAGGTCAGGGCCGGCGGCCGGCTGTGCGACCACGTGTCCCTTGCGGCTCCGGGCCCGGGGTCTGAGCGCGGCCCCGTCCGGACGCGCGGGGACACGTGGCCGTCCCCCCCAGCCCCCCAACCGCCGGGACGCCCCTCTCACCTAGAGCGCGCCGGCGCCGCGGGCCGGCCCCATGGAGACGCCGCGAGCGCGCAGGACCGCCGGCCGCCCCGCCGCTGTCGCCGTCGGCCGCCTGCCCGCCCGCCCGCCGCTCGCTCCCTCCCGCGGAGGACCGCCGGCCCGACGCGGCGCCGGAGTGCTGGCAGAGGGGCGGCGGCGGCGGAGGCTGAGCCGACTGACAAAGCCGCCGCGCCGCCGCGCCGCCTCTTATAGCGCCGCGCGTGTCGTCATGGAGACGCACCAGCTCAAACCAGCCGCGATCGGTTCCGTCCGGGCGTCCTCGGAGGGAGGGGGCGGGGCGCGGCGGCGGCCAACCCGGGGCCGGGCGCAGGCGCGGGGGGCGCGGGCGACTCGACGTCAGCGCCTCCAGCGCCGCGCCCCTCCCGGCCCTGCGGCAGGACGCGCACGCGCAGGACGCCGCAGCCCCGGGCCGTCTCGCGCCGCTCCAGGCCCGCGCACGCGCACGATGCCGAGACTCCGGGGCCCGCGGGCGCTGCGTCCGGCGTCGGGGCTCGCCGCTCGCCCGCCTTCAGCCTTGGGCCAAGAGGTGCTGCCGCAGAATTGCAAAACCTGCTGCTGACCGCCGCCGAATTTCAGCATCCGCGACACGCAGAACTGTTCTTACACTTGGCATTAGGTGCATCGTGCCCTCGGGCAGAGAAAGGAAATCGCCGGCGCGAGCGGGCCACGTGGACCCGGCCGGGCGGCCTCTGGCCCCTTCTGCCCTCGCCTCCATCCCTACGAAAAGGGACTGGGAAGTGATTCTGGCGCCACTCCACCAAGAAGGGGGCAGAGACGCTGTCAATGGAAGGGGCGTGCCGAGGGGCACCTGGCAAGTTGGCGGCGCCAGTAAACCGTGTCTGACATATGCAGGTGTCTTCCAGCTAGATGGCAGACAGCAGCGGACCCGCGGAGATACACGTTCCTCTTTGCAAGCCAGAGACTCGGCTGAGGGCGTTAGGGGAAGGGGTGGGAGGTAATGGGTCCCCACTGCCCTTTACCGTATTGGATGGCTCTCATCAATGACTGGACATCTTTAAGGGCAACTGCATTTGGCACGCTTTGAGAGAGTTATGTAAGTCCTAACACACCAACAGTGTCTACGCAATTCAATACAAATGGTCAAAGTCGCGTAGGAACTTGGTTGTCCCTAAGAGGGCGCAGCCAACGCCTACGGTGGAGGACTTGCCTCTGGAGGGGCGGGCCAGGCCACCCTCCACTGCCAGCCCCAAGGAGGGGCTGAAGGAATGGGGCAGTTTTTTTCTTTCATTCTCACCGTTCGTTCCCTTGAAGACAAAATACAACAGTTATGTCCCATCCTAGCATGTGGGTTTTGTGACCAACCTGAGGCTGCCGGTAGGAGTTAGAGAACATGTGAAACGCCCTGGCCACGCAGTGGGTGCAGGGGACCCTGGAGGAGCTCAGTGCTGGCGCATGTCCCTGGCCCCAACTTGCTGTGTGATCTTGGGTAAATCTCTGGGACTAGATGACGCAAGGATCTTCAGAGCTACAAAACCCTGTGAGGTTTTGGAAAACCTTTGTATTGGCCCTCAGGCCTGGGGCATAGTCAGCGAATACTTTTTTAATGAATGCATGAGTGAATGAATGACCTGACTCTCCCTGGAGCGTGCCTGACTTACACAGAATCAAGAGGGGGAAAACAGCGGTGTCTTCCTACATGAAGGGATATGATGGGCAGAGCTCCCTTCTCTCTTGGGCACCCTGATCAGTTTTATTTTTACGTAGTCCTGGAGCAACCACTGGGTGCTAGGTACCATGGACCCGGGGGAAGCGGATGGGCGTTATCTCCATCCTAACAAACTTAATCCCTAAGGAGGAATGAGATTAACAATCCCATCAGGAACATTATAGCCTCAGGCGCTAAATGGGACAGTTTTGATTCCGTGGTGAGCACGTGGTATTTTTCCCCCTCTGTGCAGAAACATTTTGTTCCAGTGACACACAGAGTTTTCCTCACACTCCGGAAGTCTCCTGTGTCCAGTGCCGAGACCACGAGGGGAACACTGTCCACACTGTCCAGCTTTCGGTGGCACATCAATCAACCAGTCATTGCGAAGCGAAGGCTGTCCCAGCTCTGCAGCCTCCTTCCGGCAGAGGGGACGGGATGTCTCAGCGTGTGGGATCCTGGTAGCAGCCTGGCCTGGAGGGAAGGACAGCCAGCCCCTATCCTGCCAGCAACTTGCCGCTGTGCGACCTCAGCCACCTCCCTGACCCTCTGTGAGCCTGTTTCTCCAGCAATCAAGGGAAGGGGGTGGGCCAGATCTAGGGCCCCTTTCAACTCAGTTCTGTGGTTAATATTTTAGATTTAGAAGTATTAGCTGAAGGTAGAGGCGAATTCTTGATTCCGGAAGCCAGGTGGTCTGTCCCTCTGCTGCATGCTTGTGCCACTTACAGCCTGGTCACCCCCACAACTGCCTCTCCTACTAGCCCACCCCAAACACATAAACTCCTGCCCACACACTTCACTCTCCTCTGGGGAGGCCAGGCCTTGCCCAGATGAGCCATCTGGCCCAGATGGGGTAACAGAAGCAAGGGGAGTGGACAGTACTGCTTCCTGGAGCACTGGCCCTGCCAGCTGCAGGTGAGGCCCTTGGCTTTGGGTCTGGGAGTCAGCGAGGCCTGAGTCATTAAACCGGGCTACTAATCTGGATTTGTGAAGATAAACCAGCCATGACTACACCTGGCCTTATTCAAATGCATGCCTTTAGTGTCTTTCTGCATATTTTCAATACACTTTGTCCTCTCCCTTACTATTTTTTTTTCCTTAGAGAAAAGCAACACATCCTTGTGAATGTGGGATGCCCGACACCAAGAAGTCACCCTTACATGGAGATGAGGTTTTTGTGTTTGGTGCAGAGGCAGTAAAGGAAGTGAACAAAAACATCAAAAAAACACATTGGACATGCCATCAAGGTCTGTGTCCTTAATCGTCACTCCTGAGTTCTGGGACCAGCTCCAGTTGCGTATCTTCTCTCAGCCCAGAGCCCATCTTGAAGCCCGGGGCATCACTTCCACGTTCTGGCTCTCAGACTTTTTCTGTAAAATGCTCCCTGGCTGGATTGGACTGGAGGAAAACTCAGACTCATATTCTCTGATGTTCTAAGAACCTCTGACTTTTTTTACAAAGAGAGCTCCATATAAATCCGCCCACCACATTTTCTGAAACGAAAATGAGGACACATCTGATGAAAAAGGTGTTGTTTTCTTAATTATTTACATGAAAGGGCTTGTAAAGGTAAACAGTGGTTATAAATCTAAGGAGTCACCTTTACTGGAAAGAATTAAATAACATAAGAGACAATAGTCAGTGAGCATTTATGTATCCATGTACTCAGTATTGGAATATTCGACATTGAGAACTCTGGAAAATGAGTTTGTGTTCTGTCCACATGTTCGTGGTCATATTCTGCACCAGATTTCTTCCCAGAAGTATGGTAAGAATTGACTATGGAATGAGACTCAAGACATCCAGCCACATGAGGACTTTGGGAGGTTAGGACCTGTCCTGCGAGGGTGCCATAATTCAGGACACCTAGGTAATGGGAACCAGTCATGGGACACTAGAAACAAGTCACATGCGGATGTTTGACCAAAAATAGTTGTTCCGAGGCTCACTCACTCACCAACACTGTAGCCTTGCCCTTGAATTGTTTTAGGTGTTTCCAAAAACCTAATCCACCCTCCAACACGCAAAGTGTGCCATCTTCGCCGATATCCAGATGATGTGCCCCAGACGCAGAGAGCTTCCGGGGAGGCCCTCCATGCTCTGAGCAACAAAGGTGTCATCGGAGAAGTGGAGCGCCTCCAAAAGTATCTGTTGGAAGCCAAAGACACGCATGTGTAAGTGGAAGTCCCAGGACGTTTGTTTTATAAAGTGTTGTTGCATCACCGCCCCACCCTGCCCCTGCCCTGCTGTGGCTCCCCGGGAAGTTGCTGGGACACGGGCCATCTGGCAGGAGCTGGGCCCCAGCCTCCTAGAGCCCAGCAGGGCCCTGCGGCAGGTCAGGGGTCACACAATACATTGCAGAGAAGAGGTGACGTCTGTCCAGAGGTTGCGAAGCAGGAATTCGTTTAACTTGAGCAATGTATTGCTTCCCACAGACTGCCTTTCTAGTGGACTGAAGGGAGAGTCCCAGTAAATGTGTGCCAAGCCAGCCTTCAGACATGCCAGCTTCCTAACACGTGGGCGGACAGCGGACAGAAAGTTTCAGATCTGACCATTTTTACTCATTCTTTTTTTTTTTTAGAGTAAAATTTTTTTTTGTTTTAAAGATTGGTTGGTGCCTGAGCTAACATCTGCCGCCAGTCTTCCTGTTTTTACTTTTTTTCTTCTTCTTCTCCCTAAAGCTCCCCAGTACATTGTTGTATATTGTAGCTGCATGTCCTTCTAGTTGTGTTATGTGGGACGCCACCTCATCATGGCTTGATGAGCGGTGCCACGTCCCTGCCCAGGATCCAAACCGGCGAAAACCTTGGCCGCCGAAGCGGAGCATGTGAACTTAACCACTCAGCCACAGGGCCGGCCCTACTCGTTTATTTAAAACCCTTCACTAGTGGTCCTTGGCCCAAGGTAAAGTCCAAACGCCTTAGCCTGGCACCCGGGACCGTCTGAGGTCTGCCCTGATCACCTGCCCAGCCTCATCACCTCCACTTCAGCCCTCCTGAACCACTCTGTCCTGCAGACCCTGCCCACCGGCCATCAGAGCATGGATTGCACAGTATGGGCACCTTGGGTCTCATCCCATCCCTCCCCTCCCCTCCCGCTCCCTTTGAATTCAGGACCACAATTTACTTATCTTCAGACATCTGGTTTCTAGCCCAGTGCCTGGCACATAAAAGTCACTCAATATTGTTAAACTGAAACCAGGGCTGTCCTGAAAGATCTGTGATTTGCGGCTGCTGCGTGACTGATTAGCTCATAGGAATCCCTCCCCATGTGCAATCTACAATTAGAGGGAGAAAACATTCTGAATGTTCCTCCTTTGGTCATTTACTCATTTATTCGTTCAATACATGTTTATATTGAGGGCTGCCTGTGTGTGAGTGATGTGCGGGGCAAAGGAGGACCCTTTCTGGCTGCAGCTATG